TCAAACATCTGGAGGGGCAACGATCATACTTCTTTCAAAAGTGAATAGAGAGCATACACACACAGGGTCACACCAACGGGCTGCATACGTAAAATGTTCAGAATGATTGACGTTCTGGTCCAGCAGCTGTATAACGTCATGTTCCTGTTGGAACTCAATTATAAGATAAGTTGCACCGGTACATTTTTATGCAACTTTCTGACATATTTTTGAGGGAATCACCAGATTATTATTGCGATAATTTCATCACCGCGAACACTATAACGGAGTGTATTCATATATCAAAATTAGAATTTGTTTAAATGAAAAATACTTGTCTAATATTTATTGTTTGAAAGGCACAAAATGAACTGATGGGAAAGTTTAAATAAGGTTCAAACTTAGAATCGAGTTAATACATACTAAACCACATGCACGTGCACTGAAACGAGTTGAGAGGGGCTCGGGTCAAGTATAGATTTAGGTATGGGTTCAGAGTCGTGCCTAACGTGTATTTAAAAAAGCATTTGCCTCAGGTACATCAATAAATTAAACATTTTAGGGAACCATATTTTCAAAAAATGATTTATCCAAGTGACATCCGGGATTTGGTTTTAAGTTCAAATTATGGGTTCGACTTACTTCAAGGTCATGTTTTGTTTTTATTTTTCGAGAATAGAATTTAGATAAAAAGAAATGTAGATTTCAAAACCAAAAAAGGAAATATATAAACAAAATCGAAAAGGAAAATCAAAAAATCAAAAAATATATTTAAGTTTAAATAAGTATATCATGTGGTTAAAAAAATTCAAAAACAGATCCAATAAAAATACAAGGGCAATTCATGAAAAAAAGTTTTTAGGACAAAAAGAATAGGGAAGCTAAAATTTTTCTACCCTCTAACATTTTTAATTGTATCTTTCCAATTTTGCCATTTAGGAAGGTTCTCTTGAATGTTTTTTTTCTGTTAATATTTCGTGATTTTTTAGAAAGATCTTTCAAACACTAAAATTTAACATCATTTCATATGATTTAAGAAAGTTTTCCTAAATTTTTATTGTGGAAAAGCTTTCTGAATTAAGGAAAGACTTCCTGAATTTAAGTTGTTGTATAAATTAAACGAATTATATGATTTATAAAGGCTTTTCTAAATACATATAATGACTTTTTTAATTTATACGTTTTAGGAAAGCCTTTCTAAAAGTTTAGAAATATCTTCATAAATTTACTCATCTTCTTTCTCACCTCTGCGACGATCTCGACCATCCATTCACTCCATCATATCCTGAGCGTCAAAACTAGTCATAGAATCATCCCATTTCGTCACCACAAATCAAGCTCTTTTTCCCCTCTCATCCCAACGGCTAGGAGACTCATCATCATCACTTCAACCACATTTTATGCTTTCTCTTTAATATTTTTGTTACCGTTTGCTATCATTTTCTGAGCCTTATATAAGTTCACTTGTATTCTCATTTGAGGAATCAATCTTTCATCAATCAAAAAGTATTATTTATTTACAAAGAAAAGTCTCTTTGCAACAATTGTTCCTGCGAATTACTTGGCTTCTTTTTTTTTTTTTTTTTGATAAAATTTGAATATATTACCAAAAGTAAAAGAAAAGGGTTACGAGACCATTACATTAGCCTTTACAAACTTGGCTTCTTTGTGGAATCAGAGAGATTGTAAGACGTGTAGAGTCTAGTGTTCTCGCGAGGATTAACCCTTGAAAACTATAGTATAAATCCTTGTGTTTGGGATTCAAGTACAACCGGTTTATCAACCAACAAACTATTCAACTGCTAATTCAGCTTTTAGTCATTTGATTCTAAGGGAGTATACTTGGAGCCTAAACAAGTCTACATCAGTTGCTCTACAAAAGAATAAACTATCTTCTGCAAAAAAACAAGTGTGAGACCACCATGCTTGTCCTTGCTAGTTTCAACCCAGTAATCAATTGTTCCCATTCTGCTTTCTTCAAATTCAAAATTAAGACACAAAGAATAAAAATATACGGCGACAACGGGTCCCCCTGTCTTACCCCCTTTTTGGCTTTATATTTCCCCTTGGTGATAAATCCATTATTTATACCATATTAGCATGCATTCATCACTAGTTTTTGGTCTGTAAATATGCATTTCTTACTTGTTCTTATCCCATTTGCATACATTTAGGAGTTAGAGTAGTTTTAGGTGTTGCATTGTATTTTGTTTGCATTTGGAGTTCTATCAGGTACAAAAAGAGTGTTTGGAGACCAAGTGGATCAATGGATGTGAGCTAGGAGTGGAGCAAGAAGGAGAACAAGGGCGGATGGACCAATATCGAGCTGGATATCGAGCAGGTTTGCTCGATATGGCGTGTATAGGCCAGCGTATCGACCAATTCACATTGATACATGGGAGGCAAGGCGTACAGATGGGCATATCAACTTGGGAGGACACTGATACACGAAGGAGAGCTTGTACCAGACAGCATATCGATCACCCAAGCTGATACACGTGAGACAGGATAATATCGACCAACGTATCGGCTAAGGGATGCCCGATATGCCTTAACTGGAGGCGATTGTATCGACGAGCATATCGATCAAGCTCACCCCCGAGATGTCCCCTGAAGATTGGAGTATCGACCACTGTACCGGGCAGGACTAGGCCGATACAAGCATGAAGAAGCCAATATCGAGAAGTGTATCAACTTGTCCAAACCGATATGGGTCAGCCGAACCAGCCAAAAACTGGTTTACTCATGGTTTATTAGGGGTTTTCAAGTCACCCTATACATACTTAAAGTCCTAAAATGTTTAGGCATCTGATCTTTTATTGTTATAAGTCTAAAAACCTTTCTCTTTTGAGTAATCTTTGTAAGAACCTTGTTTGATTTAGTGGATTTCTGTGTTTTCCTTAATCTATATTTGTTTAATCTGCTTTCTATGTTTAGCCATTTTTTCTCTTTGGAATTTGTGGTTTTGACTATGGCTAGTGAGTAGTCTTTTTTCGGGTTTGAGATGTGATAGATTAGAGGGATTTTATGATTAAATTAGTTATGTCTTATGCTTAGTATGATTGTTTCCTTCTCTATTTGATGTGCTTACACCGGACTTCTCCACTCTATTTTCCCATGTTACCCACTATGTTGCATGGAAACGGAAACGGATACGTGGAAGCGGAACATTTCGAAACGTGAAAACACCATTTTTAAAAATATAGAAATAGAAACGTTTTGGAAATGTGTATATATATATATTAATTATTAAAGATCTAATTATGTTATAAGTAGAATATTTAAATCAACAAAATCTAATATATAATTTTTACATAATTATTAAACTATAAAAATTAAAATATGTAAAGTCAAAAATTTAGAAGATTTTCTTTATTATCAATTTTATTAGTTTCATTAACCAAACTATCTCTAATTCTAATTCATGGAAAGAATAATTTTCAAACTTAATAATATCAAAATTAATTTTAGTTACCAAATCAATTATTATTTACTATAAATAATTAAATTGATCATTTAAATCTAATTTTTATAATTATCTATTTATTTCATAAAACAAAAAAAATTAGTTTTTATCTTCTTTCCAAAATGGAAACATGTGTTTTTAAAATGGAAACGTGTTTCCAAAGTATTCACAAATTAGAATTTTTAGGAAACGTGATTTTTGTGTTTCCGACGAGCTTCCGAGAGTTTCGGTTTCCGAAACGTTTCGGAAGCGAGAAACGTACCTCGGAGGGAGTTTCCATGCAACCTAAGTTATCCATACACCCTGACTATCATGTAGTCCCACTATTCTGTTTATAGTCCTCCGTTGCTTTGTTGAAGTATTATAAAATTATGTATTAAAATCTCCACATTTGTTCCATAAGTTTCTGCTCTTCTGTTGCCAGAATTGTTTCTCATCCCGATACGTATCCTTTAGTTATTTGTTATCTCATTAAGCTTCTCTTGCATACGTGAGTCATCTGTTTGTATATCCTCAAGTTCTCTTTAAAGTTCCTCTATTTTATTCCTTCCATACGGTTGAGTTTCCTGTTGTCTCCATTTCGATATTCATATCTATATTTACCGATTCTATCAACCAATTAATAGTATGTAGTGTCAGCACCATATCTCCAACCCTGCGTTGTAGCATCCATCAGATTTTCTTGGCTAATCCATCTTTTATAGAGACATTGTTTAAAAAAAAAAATTAGATATTTTATCTAAGTAATTTTTTTCAATAATTGACAAAATTTGCTTTAACTATAAAATTTATTGCAAAAAATTGTTTTGTAATTCGAAATACTTTGTGCGTGATTCTCTTTCAAAAAATGTTTTGATAAAATTTGAAAGTCATTGATATAATTTAACATTGTTTATTTAAATAACACCATCTTCTAGCTTGTTTTGAAGTAAATTCTTCAACCAATTCTAATCTTTTATAATTTCAGATTCAGTATACAAATGAATTCTTCCACCGGTGTACTTGCACGTGCAAAAAAAATAGGCTTGTCTTGTGGGTTTTGGACATCAATAGTTATTGATTTGTCCATTGGTGACTCCAAAATAAGTTAATGATCTATCAGTGTCTTAAGAATTTTATAGACAGATGAAAAATTCCAAACCTTAGACTATTTGTCTTTCCAGCTTTGATACCATATTACATTTAGCCAGATCTGTAATTAAATAAACGCATTATACTTGTTCCGTTAATCATACTTAAAAGCAATTTTATGTAGTAATTTGCTAATAAAGTCAGATATGAGAAACTACTATATAGCCGAAAATCGTTGTCCCGATCCTTGCTTTTTACGTGTCTCATCACACTCGATAATTGTTGCACTTATACGAAGAAATGTTTTGGGTCTCGGGATCCCAAAAGCTTTTTAGATAGTGATTCGGCTTATTGTAAATTTGTAATTAACATTTTGAGATGAGAAGTGGCTTTTTGGTTTCGGTTTGTATTGATTAATTTTACGTATTCGTAAGCTTTGAAACTGAATATTTATATACATTAATTTTAAATATCGCATAACTAATTTAATATGTATGCTTATATAAGATATTTCTAACATCTAGTATGCATGTAGTAATATAGAAAAATTAAAGTTGTGTATACGTAGAAGTGTAAAACTGATAATGTAATATAGCCAAGGCTTAAAACAAAATAAGTTCAGTTGTCCTTTTCTAGAGTTGGCATCAATATTGTTAGAGTCTTAAACTATAGTTTAATATTGGATATAGTTTGATGGATGGCTCTTTTGACCTCAGCAATGCTTGGTTTCTTCCCTCTCACCATAGCCCTTATCTCGGCCTCGAAATCACGCTCGTTCACCGCGGTATGAACTGCAGTAGTCTCTATACCATGTTCCTTAAGAACCTGAAGGATGTCGAGCAATAGACCATCTCGGTACTCGCATCTCATCTCTAACAAAACATCACTCTCTATGATGGAAACCTCAACGACCTCTTCCCACGTTTTTCCCTTACAGCTACGCATCCGCTTATGTTTTTGTTCGTGATGATTAGTCTCCAGCTCTTGGACCCTATTTCGAAGATGGTTTACGTAGTTGATGGTGTCTCCAAGAATTGAGACTTTATCCATCTTGGTCACAAAGGGAACCAATGATCTCAGTGTTATGAATCTCTCATTCAGCTTCTCTCTCCTGCGGCGCTCTGCCACCACGTGATTAAGCTCTTCTCGAGGCAGCCTCTTTTCTTTAGTGTGGTCGTGGAGTAAAGGAACTCTCAAGATTATGTGTTTGAGCATCCATTGCGACGACGACGTCGATTTAGTTTCCACTCGCTGATGCTCTTTAAAATTATCAGCCTTCCATGTGGCAAATGATGATTGGATGTAAGAAGATGTGGAAACTGAATCTGAAAAAAGACTCGTGGGTTGTGACATAAGAAGTGTTGATACTGTCTGAGAATAGTTTCCACCCTCCTCCATTAGATTCATCATGTCCATGTGTGTGTCTATTCATAAAATTTTATAGATTTTCTTTAGACATAACAAAGAAATGGCGAATATTTTTAAATTTCTTGTTAACAAAATAAATAGATACGTGTAATGATATCGTTAACTAATTTAATGTATAAGTGTATACCTAAAGTGTGGGTTGATTCTACATGGAAATCAGAGAGTAGGTTTTGATTGGAGACGTCATCATCATCAGGAGAGCCAAGCCTTATCTCCTCTGACATTGTCATTTCTTCTTCTACTTCTTCTTCTTCTTCTTCTTCTTGTTCTTCGTCTTCTTCGTGCTCTTCGTTGATGGAGTGTTCAGAAAGAGCAGCTTTTGGGTTTGACTTGGGGTGGTTATGGAAAAAACTCTTTATGAGCTCAACAAACGCTATATCTTCTTTTACCTTCACACACACAGACAAACAACATGTATCCAACTCCTTCCCTTAATCATCCCTTTGTTATTTTTTTTATTGTGAGAATTATGTACTATCTCCAAAAACAATATTTTTATATTATGACTTCAAATGGTTAAATATTTTATTCTTTTTTTTAACTAACAGGGACTATACATTATTAATGAACATAATATCTTATTTTTACATTTTTAATTTAACTGATAAAACTTAAGCATGATCTATTTCTCTTCTAACCTTTTTCTTAACCATTTGGTTATGCATATATAAAAAGATAACTACGCCGTACCTTGTTCGTTGTGCCTAGTTCCACAACGCCATCAAGCATGGGAATGCAAACCACTGTCTGCTTTTTTTTTATCACAAAACAATTTTCAAACATGTAAAATAAATGTAAAATATTACTCAAAATTAGAATTAATCAATAAAGACAACGTTTACCTGGATTTTGGCACTCTAACCATTAAGGAACCGACCGATGTAGAAGGAGCATCCAAGAAAATAAAGACAGAAAATTAATTAATTTGAAAGATGAGATATATAAATAGGTAGAGAAGTAGATGCATAGAGTAGTGGTAAATGAAAAAGGAAATAGACCTTTGCGAGAATAGCCCTAGAAAAGATTTTACTGTCAACCTCATTTGCACCACATAGCCATACGTGTTTCCTCCTCGCATACGCCTTTCCTGGCATCCTACAAAATTATTACTTCCACATTTATATATTTTTTTTTTTTTCCTCTCATAGAGAAAAAGCATTAACTATACCCATAACTAACACAATTTGTTATGCATTTATGTATTATCTATTTATGCTTCTACTTTAGATAATCAATCAGCAAAAAAATAAGAATCTCAACGGTCCAATTATGTTCACTAAAATGGAGTGTACGTTTCATCAACTCCAATACATTTCTTCTTTCAGTAACTCAACCTCCTCAGTTTGTTTTTAATGCTTCCACAATATTCGTGATTCGCATTTAACACACAATACTATTTTTGTCTTCAGTAGGAGATGATAAAAAGATAAATTAAGAAACTTCAGTATAGACAAAAGAGAGAGAGAGAGAGAGAGAGAGAGAGAGAGAGAGAGAGAGAGAGAGAGAGAGAGAGAGAGAGAGAGAGAGAGAGAGAGAGAGAGAGTTGGGTACCCGGAAGGAGGAGGGAAAGAGAAAGAGACACACATTAGATAAAACCATTCAGTCTCCGTCAGATCCTCCGGCGATAATGCCGTGCATGCCCTAGCTTCCGATGAGGACTCTCCGGCCAAAAGGGCCTCGTAAAGTTCCCTTAGCTGCTGACTCCTCTCTAACGCAGCCTCTTCCGCCGTCACTTCCGCCGGCTGAGTTGTCTTCCTCGTCTTTATTGCACCGTTGTAGTATCCATTCTCCCACAGCAAAACCCTAATTCATTTAAACATATAATTACTTCAGTATAACTCAATTGACACAGAAGTGCCAATAAACGAAAAAGTCTCACAGATTCGAGACAAACGAGAGATGTGCTCGGCAGTCTGAACCTCAAGTAAAATATGAGACAGAAATGGAACCAAATAAAGCACATGGACGGTTAAAATACTGATAATTATGTAGTTAAACATATAATAATAAATGATATAAAATTTAGGGTTTTTATTGTGAGAGATCGATGAAATTTATTAAAAAAAAAAAAGAACCTTTGTTGAGGACAAAGTTGCCAGAAGAGACTATAAGTCCACTCCACAGATTGCACCGCCGCCTTAAGCAGCCCTTGAAGCTCTCTTTTCTCAGCTCCGATCACTTTCTCTGCCGTAAAAATACTTGATTCATCCATCTTTCCCGGAGATTAAAACTTGTGTTAATTCTCTCTCTCTCTCTCTCTAATGAAGAGAGAAAAATCTTATAACTTTGAAGGGGATGTTAATATGAAAGAAGATGGATACTCTTTATGATGATTTAAAATGATATATGGGACCACTGTTATATCAATATGTATGTATACATACCATCTTAATGCTTTTGCAGCATTTTGACATAGGTAAAGTATTGTTTTTTCTTCCATGTATGTGTATATAAATGCATGACCAAAAAATTCACGATGTAGTAAAAGTTGACTTTTATGAGTTTTGACTGGTTGGTCGTCCAACAGACGTTGGATGAATTAGTAGTATACAGATAGAATAAAAATATCTAATTATCTTGGTTACGTGTCCTCTACTGATTGGATAAATCAAATTACAGAATGCAAATTTCTTAATATGTTTTGGTCAGAAAGAATAACATATTTCAGTACATAAAATAGCTAACCGACATACAAGAGAAAACAGACATTGCTTTGACTTGTGTGTTACTACTGCTGCAGGTGCAAACAAATTGCGTTTTAATTTACACATTTTTTTTAATTTTTACAATATTTTAATGCCCATCAACGAATATAAAAGAGTGCGATTTTCGGACTAATATTTTTTAAAAGTTAAAAATGAAAAGAGAGATAGATGAAAAAAAAAAACTAAATAAAGGGAATGGTAGAATTGTTGACCTGACCGGTAAGTAAAGAAAGAGAAGTGGTTTGGTGTGATAAAAGGAAGAGAGTGAGATGTTTCACAATTCGTATTTTTAATTATTGATGTTAATCGCTGGCCAAGTAGCTACCATGTTTTCCATTTTAACAATGTCTTATAAAATCCTATTTATAAATATCGATAGGTAGATTTTGACCCCTACAATAAAAGAGAAATAGATAGATATACATAAATCAGTTACGTACACATGTAGTACATACAATTTGGGGTATGGTATATATGACCGTATGAGTGATGTATTCCTGGTTTGGACAAAAATTAACATTAAATGTTGTTTTGGCTTTTTTGTCGATAAACATAATGTTGTTTGGCTTTTCCTTCGGTTTCCGCTTCTTACTTTGTCTTTAAATTAGTTTTTTCACCAATTATATTTAGTTATGACAACCACGTGGATTGACTGTGTGCGTAAATCCATTAAGGAGTGGGACGAAGCTTATTTAATTCTTACGACAATGCCATGCGCGCCCATATAGTGTGAGTAAAAATCATTTCTTAAGCGCATACGCTTGTTGTTCGATTCTGATTCTAGTTGTAACGTCCTGGATCTAGGCTCAATAGGAAAAGGAAAGGTTCATGTGTCAGAAGCCCAAGAGAAAAGGATATTAGGATTTTTCCTGAGTCTTCCCTATATAAACAGAGTTAGAGAATTAGGTTTTCCATCATAACTCCCAAAGCACTCAGAGATATAACCTAGGAACCCTAACCGAGCAAGCCGCCGCCGCCGTTCGTTTTCGCCGCCGACCGCCGCCGCTGAGGAGAGCCGCCGTCGTTCCGCCGTTCCTAGCCGCCGTTCTCTTGAGTCCTTTGCTTTCCATCGTTAGATCCCTTAAACCCTAGATCCATTTTTAGCTTTCATTCGATTAGGCAAAAGTGAGGATGTGTTCATGTCTTCCCTTCGATATTGTTAGCTAGCTTCTCTTGATTAGATCTGACTTCCAAGTCCTCTAAATCCCCTACAAGTTCCGCTCTAGGTCGTAACTTGTAGATCTGTGCTGTTTGCTAGATTGTTATTTGCTTTCAGAACATAGACCTAGGGATGGATTAATACTGTTGATTGTTGCTTGATGTTGAATATTGCTTGTGAGAATTGTGAATTGTATTGCATTGCATATAGTGTGTGAAAGCACAAACTGCATTAGGACCCAGCAGTGAGAGGCACTGCTGGCATGATTGACGCCTGCGACAGAGGATGTGCCTGTCGTAGTGCCATGTGGTGCTCAGGTTGACGAACCAGTCGTGCAGCGACTTAGACTCTTGCGGAGATGCGTCCCCTAGCAAGGGTGTAAAACATACAAAACTTGTGGAGGTTAATCCATGGGATACTGTAACGAGAGGCGTTCAGTATGCTCGCTTTGTTCATTGCATATTTGTTTGTTGATTGTTAGAGGAATCATTAAACTGCACTTGTTAGTTTGGCTCTAGCTAGCGACAGGTTGGGTAATGATATGTGTGGTGGACCACATGTATGCATTCTCCTGGGTAATCTAAATTACTCATCCCCTCATTTCCCGTTCCCCCTTGCGCAGGTGAGCAGGAGCAGCAGGAGTGATTGGCGTGTGATGGTGGCGAGCTGGTTATCTAGTTCGGTCCTTGGTGTCCTTAAGACACTTAGCTTTCTGTTTCAAACGGTTTTCAGTTGGTTTTGAGACTTGGTTATGTTTTATTTCGAATTTAAGTTGGTTATTTGCAAGACTATTTGGATTTATATTTATAAGATGAGTATTGATTTGGAGTTAATGCTGTGGTAACTTGGTTGGGAAGTTGAGTGTTTAACACGTCATCTCATATGAGGAGAGGCGGTGTTACAAGTTTGGTATCAGAGCCAAGGTTACCAGTCAAACCGGTTCTGACCCGGGAGACATGTTTTCAAAGTAAAACCGTTTTCAAAGTTTTTAAAAGTGGGTTGGGGTTTTCAAAAGTAAAACAGCATCATCACACCACGTCACTCTGCTCTTCAGGCTCAGTAAGTTAGTGTTTTTAATTATCTTCAGTTCATCTTCGTCTACTGTCTACATCGTCTAGTGTCTACTGTATCTGCATTAGTTGTGGCTAATCGAATCGGAGGACACGATTCCGATTACTTATTCTTGTGAATAGATGCCACCAAAGGGACAGCGTTTGACTACGGCTGCAGCACGCCGTGTGAGTGGAGGCAATACCGGGCGGACTCGTGCCAGGGGGCAGGTAGAGGAAGCACGTGCTCAAGCTTTAGCCGCGCAACAGTCTTTAGCTGCAGAACAGGACCGTGCCGCCGCCCATGCTCAGGAGCAGGCACGTGTGGCTGAGCAAGTGCGAGTTGCGGAGCAAGCGCGTATTGCAGAGGAAACTCGTGTGGCTAAGGAGGCTCGCATTGCTGAGGAAACTCGCGTTGCAGAGCAGGCTCGAGCTGCAGAGGCAGCTGCTGAAAGAGAAGAGCTGTTGAGGTACCGCGAGAGGTATGGAAATCTTCTTCGTGGAAACCTTAATGCGGATTGAGTGTATGGAGGTGCCAATCCGCGCCGTGATGAGCCGCGAGTGGAGGTACATTTACCCCCGCCACCACCTTTGGTTCGTGGGCAGGACAGGGAGCCTGTACCGACCTATTGGGAGGCTATAAATCACGTTCGTCTCATGGGAACTGAGATGTTTGCGGGTATGAGCGATCCTACTGCCGCAGACAATTGGAGAAAGAAGTTGGAAAGGAATCTTGATGGAGCAAGGTGTCCGCTAGCATACCGCAGAGACCTGGCCGTCCAGTACCTGAAGGACGAGGCGCTGGTATGGTGGGAAGGTCTTGTGGAGAAGGCTGAGGGACGATATGAACTCACCTGGGAGGATTTAAGGACGGAATTTTCCCGTAAGTACTTTCCTCGCGAGGCGATGGAAAAGATGGTGAATGCATTCCAAGACTTGCGTCAAGGAAGCAAGACCGTACGTGAGTACGAGGAGGAGTTCAGTCGTTTGAGAAGATTTGCTGGTCAACACCCAGGAGAGCAAGAGCTGATCCGACTTTTCCTTAGGGGAATGCGGGTTGAACTCAAGAATCGTTGCTCCATAAGAAGGTATGACAGTATGATTGACCTCGTGGAAACGGCTGCAACTCAGGAGATTGGAATGGAAAAGGAGCAGAAGGTTGCATGGAACACCCAAGCTAAAGCCGCTAAGGGGATGGAAACCCATAAGCGAACTTGGGATAATGCGAACCAACGGAACGGTCCATCGCATCTGTGTAACAGGTATGGGAAGTACCACCATGGAGCGTGTCACGGAACGGCATGTTTCAGGTGCAACCAACCGGGCCATATGGCTCGGGATTGTCCAGCAGTAGCGCCAGTGGAATCGTGCTACCGCTGTGGACGGGTTGGGCACAATGCAAGGGACTGCATCGTGCTAGTACCGCACGAAGGAGGCAATCAGGGACAGCTACCGCAAGCACCAAAGAGACAGGCCCCTGGACCGCGTTTGCTCATGGCAGGAGACCACGCTGGTGTGGAACCGATCGCTGGTAAGTACATAGTTGTTATGATTTAGAGGTTTTAAGTTCTGTGTGTTAGTTGTGTGTTTGTAGAGTAGAGCCTTAGAAGTAGAAACCCTGTAGGATCGGTCCTCGTTAGAGGCATAGCAGCTCACACTCTGTTCGACTCGGGAGCTACCCATAGCTTCGTTTGTCCGGAGATAGTGAGGTTTGGACGTTCAAGGGAACCTGCGTTCCAAAGTCCAAGGGGATCCAGACGGCTGGAACCGAACTGGTAAAATCCACGGGAGTGCACGTTAAAGTCCCCATAACGTTGGAAGGTGTGGATTTGCCTTGGGATCTCATAAAAATGAAGCTGAACCACTTTGAGGTCATCTTGGGAATAGATTGGCTGACCCGATACCGTGCGACTTTGGACTGTCACAAGGCGAAGGTCAGGATTCTAAAGGAGGATCGTTGGATAACGTTCCAAGGCGTTTAGTTGAAGTCAGGAGTCAGAATCATCTCGATGTTGCGAGCAGAAGAGCTTCTGGGGAAGGGGCATGAAGCATATCTGGCCACCATTTCGATGGTAGAAGAGGAAGTATTGGCAGATCTTAGTGCGATTCCTGTAGCAGCTGAATATGCGGACGTATTCCAGCCACTGCAAGGACCGCCTCCCACGCGAGGTGATGCTTTCACGATTGAAGTTGAGCCCGGGACGGCGCCCGTATCAAAGGCTCCTTATCGTTTAGCACCTGCGGAAATGGCTGAGCTGAAGAAGCAGCTTCAGGACTTATTGGATAAAGGGTTTATCCAGTCAAGTAGCTCGCCATGGGGAGCACCTGTGCTATTCGTGAAGAAAAAGGACGGTACCTTCAGACTCTGTATTGATTACAGAGGTTTGAATAAGGTGACTATTAAGAATAAGCACCCTTTGCCGCGGATCGATGAGCTGTTGGACCAGCTGCAGGGAGCCTCTTGGTTCTCGAAGATCGATCTTGCGTCGGGATATCA